ACTTCAAGTGCCAGTTTCTTAATTAGTAGACACCGGTATTCAGGAGCTTGATTCAATAGTGAGAGAAGGTGGTAAATTGTTAGTGGAATTTGCAGTTACAATTCAACATGGGTCGTTACTCAATGTAGTCAACACTTAATATCGCGTCCCGGGTTACACCTACACAACACGCTAAGTCCTGCTCATTTCCGCAGCTGTGCCTCGCTGTCGCAACTTCACGAGGCATGGTTGTCATCGACCACGCTGACGCGGCAGAAAGAATGGTTGTTCACGGCGCCCGAATCAGCTGTGACTCCTATCTGTAAATCTGCCGAACCTGGCAGGCAGCACGACGGGGACGTTGACCGGACGTGCACCAAATCACCCAGTACCCACAAAGTGGTGCACGTTCGGGTTCTTCCCCTCCAATCCACCCTCCTCATCCTCCTCAACGCCCCCTCTACGATCCCCCTCGACAGTTCAAACTGAAGTTTGAAATTTCAAACTTCAAACCCCACCCTCCTTCCACCACTTCAATCTCCCTCACCCATCCCCCCTCGTTACCGCCACACATCGTTATTGGCATCAATCGGGGCATCAAGCAGGCCCCCACCGTATCTTGTTGCGATGCGTAGGCAAGGTAAGAGATGATGTTCCAGGCGTCTCTCCTAAGAGCTTTTCGTATATATAGCCTTTGTTGCTGGAGTGTTGCTATCATCTACTCCATCACTAGCGATTTAGTACTTATAGCTTTCAGTAGCTAATTATGGGCCGTGCTCGTTCATTCAGCGTTCCCGCTAGTATGCAGATGGCGGAACCGTTACGGACTTCCATTCCGCGCAAGAGCAAGGACAATCAAGCTTTTTTTCCAGCTAACAAAGGTAAGCGCTCTCTATGGTTTGTGCTTTTTAATTTATGGTCACCTTGTATCAACTGCTGTGTTTTAACTACCTTGTTCTTCTTCTTTCCCAGATGGTGATACTCTCGACGCAGCCATGACTGGCACTCGATCTGGCAAACGCGGTTCCAAGCGTCAAGGCGAGCGAACCCACGGTGTCAAACGTGCTGCGGTCTTGGGAAAGTCAAGTGCTGCCGCCGCATCACCGACTACCACTGCCAATCCTGCTCCAGGCGCTGCCATTTCTGCTCATGCCGCTGCCGATCCTGCGCCTGCAACTGCCAATCCTGCTCCTGCCGCTGCCGATCCTGCTCCTGCCGTTGCCGATCCTGCTCTTGCCGATGCCGACCCTGATCCTGCCGCGGTGGGTGTAGCTACTGCCATTGCGGATGCTGAGGAGGAAAAGAGGGCGAACTCTTCGGGGACATAATCGCGCAACCGCTTCAGGGGAACGGCCAACGTGGTAAGCTTTGACGCGCATTCTGGTCGTGTGCCCAACTATTTCGTTTACTGACCTCCATTCCTCCGTGCCATGCAGGCCTCACCCTCTATGCCCGTACCATGAAGCACGCGGGCGTTAATCCCAGTCCAGAGGCCGATGCGTTTCATCTCGAATCGCGCCCAAACAAGGTCAATCAGAGCCTTCGTGCGCAGGCTGCCATTGCTCGCGAGCATGTTGAGTTGCTGCAGACCGACTGCAAGACCAAGGACGTGCAGATCTTGAAGGCTCTTGGCATCGCCGGATCTCTCGCTGATGCTGTGCTCCTGCAGAAGATTGTCAGCCTAGATTTCGAGGTGAGTTTCTTTCATACGCTTTCGTTTTAAACTGATGGGTGTCTTCTGTTCACTCCGATTTATACCCTGACGCGTGTTTTCTGTTGCTATTGTAGAGAATGATGTCGGAAACCGTCAACGATTTCCTCTTCGACGGCGACCACATGAACATGGCGCCGAAGAGGAGTGATGTTGTTGAACGTTTAGTCGGTAAGCAGACGAGTCGTGTTTCTTCTGCTATTGCTCTTATTTATGTTTCTGACTGCGGCCCGTTCTTTTACTTCGCACAGCACATGCAGGTTTCACATGGGGCAGCGATGAGGCTTCGAGGCTGGTGGCGCACATGAAAGACAAGGACATCGTCAAAAAGACAGAGAAGCGGTTCAACAACCGCATTGGCAAGATCTACGGAGGTTGTAGGAGGAGCTTGCGGTTGGTACGGGGCGCGCGGCTGTTCGTGATTAAGCGTGCTCCGAATGGCACCATCCGAGCTGTGGAGCCAGACGATTTCGCCGCCCGATGCCATGCTTACGTGGCTGTGTATGGCAGCAGTCTTTACCCGTGTTTACCTTTGTAAACTCTCTTTAGTCTTGTTTTCAGCAACTCAACATAAATGTTGAGTTTTTTAAACAGTGACATAATAAAGCAGCCTGTACTTACTCTATCATTATTGCCCGTTCTTTGCTTTGTGGCTTGTCACAGGGCTGAAGGGCATAGAGTGGCACCTGCTTAATGGCCACCCTTTTTCCAGCCCAGCGTTCATGGCGTGTGTGCGTCTGTTTGTGACAGAGGAAGACCCAGACCGCCCACTTGGGATCTATGCAGCACAGCTCCTATTGATTCTGGCAGTTGTGAGTCTAATCGCATCTGTAATGCAAACTTTTCTACTATATGTTCTGTCTTACAGGCTCGTGTTGTGTTGTTGAATGTGTGCAGGTCCGTTTTAAGCTACGTCACCCCACTTGCAACAAGCTTCAGCTTGGTCGCTCTGGTGACACTCTCGCGTGAGTAACATATACGTGTGCTTTCTACTTGTGTGAATGTTGTTCTACATGGTTTACATAATTACTGTGCTATTCTATGCAGGGATGGTCGAGATCAAACCCGTGGATCAATTGGTGATTGCTATACGGGAAGCCAGTATAGGACGCTGCATCTTACTGTTCTGCGAAAAGAGCTCCTAGAGATCTGGTGGCGGAAGCCTCCGTCACAAATCTCGCTTCTTCTCTGGAAGGCTCTGCAAGTCCCGGTTATGATGCACCTCCGACACCAATTTCTCGGAAGAGGGTGCAGCATTCGAAAGATTCGCCTTGGGAACCTGTTTGTCCGCATGACGCGGAGCACATCACACCTCGACGACTATCTGGACGTTTTCGTACTCGTCGTTGTTTCCAGGAAGTCGAAGACCAACCCCAACAACAAGCTGAGTCGTTAGTTTCTTGCAAGGCATAGGGACTGGCGGCTCTGCGGAATGGACCATGTGTTCCTGTGGCTTTATTTCATCTACGACCTCGTTCCTCTGCGCTACGGCCCCGGTATCGTCGAGCCTCTCGACTTTTCTGAACCGATCTTGTGGACGAAAGCGCACCTCTTCTTTTCTTTGAAGAAGGGCGACCAGGGAAAGCAGAAGCAAGACGAGATGCACTAAAAAACGCATAACACTTGGATTAAGTGGGCCATGACGAAGGCGAGATGGATTCTGAGCAAGGTGACACATGCATTCCGCAGATCCGGAGCGCAACAACTCCATGATGACGGTTGCTCCGACAACGATATCGGCACTCTGGGCGGATGGGCGCAGGGGGAGTTGCGGAGGTGTTATGTGTTCGGCATTCCGTTCAAGCCGGTTTGGCTGCTGGCAGGATTCAGCGGGGATCGTGGAGACTACTACATCGGCAGAGCCCGCGCCAAGCTTCCGCGGCATGAGGATAAGGAGAAGGATGAGTGGTTGCAGCTCTTGGATCTCTTGAGGCTTCACATTTTCCCCTGGGTCGAAGAGGGTTGGAAGAAGGTACGTGCTAGTGTACAGTCTTCTCTCAAAACCTCTCTCAACCTCTCTTCCACCCCCTTTAACGTGCCCTCCGCCATCCCCCCTCCCGACTGGCGAACCTGATCACTCACCCTTACGATACTCCCCTGCAAGTTGGAGAGTCTCGTGTCCACCTGCTCGCGAAACCTGGCCGCCGTTTCAGCTTGGCGCCGCCGTTCCTCGTTTCCATGGCGGACTTCTTCCAGGTTGGCCAGGGCGTCGCGGCAGTAATGGACGGTCAGATCGGCCACGTTGCGACTGATGTTGCTGTTGCGGGCCGCCAAGTTGCAGAACGTCTGCATCACCATTCGGGCTAAGAGCGTCAGACGACGCGTTACCTCTGCCGGGCTTATGTCCCAGCTTTCGGCCTCGACGAACCTGTCACCTTGTTTGACCAGGACTGTACTCGTCCGATGCAGCATCCGCTGTATTGTTACAGACTAAGGACGGAGTCTATGAAGATTGGGTGCTCAAATTTCTCAAAATCGTTGGTCTCAATTTCTGGACAGAAACGACGACTTCACAAGAAACGTTGTCGACAAAAATTGCACTGTTAGAATCTCACGAAATTCAACTACGTTGTAGCCCTAGACCGTGGCTACATTTCCCAATTTGAATCTTATCAAAATACGAAGCACATCTTGAGTTATGCTTTTCGGCGCACTAGGGGGTATGCTGCGACAGAAATTTAACTCAATCACAATTAACTCACAAGTCCCACAAAAGAACATTAGAGTAGCACTAAACCAGGTAGGAGGGGAAGAGGAGGACGAGAGGGAAGGTCCTAAGAGAGTCCCCATCCAAGGAAAACCCCATGCCACATAATTCCCTTCCCTATAGGCAACAAACTTTGACCTTTGTCACTTTCCAACCCATGCCATCCACCTCACCTCAACTTGGCCACACTTACCAACCTGGTTTGGCTTCACCCAACCTCTTGGCAGCATCTACAGTGATGGGTTCGTATTTCCCAACCTCCACAAGTCTGTACCCTATATTGAGTCAATGCCATAACTTCCCAAAGTAGCTGCAACCAAAATATATAAGCATACGAACTCCAATGTTCGTAACTTTCTTGGTTGTGCTCCGATCGCGACGATTCTTGGTTCGTCGGAAAGCTCTTGAGTAGAGGAATCACTTCAGATATCTGCTCAAGCCAAACAACAAACACACACACACACACACACACACACACACACACACACACACACAGAAAATCCAAACCACACAAGATACAAATTTCTTGCACACGCTCACACCACGCATGCAACGCACAAACACATGATGGGAGGCAGACAGACGTGAATGCATATGGTTGCATCACACAACACGTATTGCCGTCTCTGCCTTGACCCACTCTACCTGCCAAAAAGCTTCTGCCACCTCGCCTTGGCCGAGATTCCTCTCCACTGCTCTCTGGTGAAGGGTGGGCCGCCTCTGCCTGTTGAGATCCACTGTATCCCTAGGCGCCCCATCATCTGCCACCCTCCATGGCCCCTCTACCCCTGTTCCTGGTCCGCGCGTCGGACTTCCTCCCAAAAATATCTGGACTGCCGGATGTACCGTATCCTCCTCATTGTGCTCCTCTTCTGTTTCCAGTGCATCTCCCTTGTAGAGCTCCACTCCAGCCTCCGGGACGACACGAACCTCCTCCATAGTATTTTGACACCCTGTCTCTGCCATGCTCTGCGTCTCTCGGTATGCGAATACCTGCGACGCTGCCTCCTCGTCATGCTGCCCCTCTTCCTCTGCGATGATGTGCCCCTCAACACCCGCCGTCTCCCGTCCCTCTGTCTGTATCATTTTATTCCCATCTGAACCGTCCTCTCCATCTGGCTTCCTACGCGCGTCTGCCTCAGCCTGCTTCTGCTCCTCGGCCTCTGCCATCTTCTGCGCCTCACCCTCCGCCTTCTGCTGCGCCTCTACAACAGCCTTCTTCCGCGAATCTGCCCGAGCCAGTTGTAGTGCCTCTTCCACAGCCTGTTTCTGCTCCTCTGCCTCCGCCTTCTGCCGCGCCGCTGCTTTTGCCTTATTCCGAGCCTCTCCTTCCTTATGTGCGTCTGCCTCCTCCATATGCAGCGCCGCTGCCTTATCCTTCTGCCTCGCCGCTGCCTCTGATTCCTTCTGCGCCTCTGCCTCAACCATGTTCGGCGCTGCACCCTCCTCCTTCTGCTGTGCCGCTGCCTCTGATTCCTTCTGCGCCTCTGCCTCAACCATCTTTGGCGCCGCACCCTTCTCCTTCTGCTGCGCCGCTGCCTCTGATTCCTTCTGCGCCTCTGCCTCAACCATCCTGGGCGCCGCACCCTCATCCTTCTGCTGCGCCGCTGCCGCTGATTCCTTATGTGCGTCTGCCTCATCATTCTGCTGCGCCGCTGCCTCATCCTTCTGGCTCGCCGTTGCCTCTGATTCCTTCTGCGCCACTGCCTCCACTACCTGCAGCTCGACTGCCTGCGACGTCAGCTCTGCTGCTGCACCCGCTTCTTTACGCGCGACTGCCTCCGCACCCTTGACCGCCTTTGCACCCACCTTCTGCTGCGCCGCAGACTCTGCTTCCTTTGGCGCCCCGTCCTCTGCCGTAAGTGCCGCCTCTGCATCGACGAACCGATGGGCCGCATCCTCTGCATTCTGGTGCGCCTCTACCTCCGCCATCTTATGAGCCTTTGCACCCGCGTTGCTCTCCTCCTTCTTTTTCGCCTCTCCCGAATTTTCTCGCACGTCGACGTCCCCTCTACGGGCCTCTTCAGCCGCCTTCCGCTTTACGCTGGGCAAGCGAACTTTCACGTATCCCCTATCCTCCTCGATATGCTGCCGCACATTGCTGGCGAGCTCCTCTCCTGCCTCTCCCACGTGTTCCCTTGCAGCGGCTTGTGCCCCACGCTCCCATGCTTCACGTATGTCTCCAGTTCCCGGGAAAGAGACGGTAGGATCGGTGTCGCCATCACTGCGCCGTTGCCTCTCTTCAGCCCGTCTCCTCTTGGCTTCTGCTTCGGCCATCTGCTTATCATCAGCCGCCTTCCTCCACTGCTCCTCTGCCTGTTCGACCTGACTTGGCAGCTGTGGATCTTCTACAGCCTCCTCGCCTTCATCTGCTACACTTGCCAAGTCAGTCTCTGTCCGTGCTTCGCGTTCCGGCGGCCTCCTAACCCGATCAGCAAACCTGAGCTGCCTAACTCCAGACCTAACACGCTCGTCCGCAGTGGCTGACCTTGATGTTGGGCCACTCAGTAGTGCACCCCCCGGTGCAGGTCGGTGGGAATATGAAATAAACCCTACTCTTGGATTTGCGTCCCGGTTTGCGGCAGGTACGTCTATCTGTCCCTCTACCGCTTCGGATCTGTTCTGTGCCGAGGGCTCCATGGTATTCCCGGACTGTTCCGGTGCGCTCTCCACCACTCCAGCCTCATGGGTCGTCATGACTGCATCCAGGGCGGGACGGAGCTGGACTCCTTGCAGGTCGAAGAAGGCCCTGCAGGTCGACTCCAGCATACTCCGAATTTCTTTCGCGCTGTTTTTCCCCTTCCCTAAGGCCATCATCGGCTCTACAATTTGAATCGCCATGACATCCCCCCATTTGTCCAGCAACTTGCTGAACAGATGGGTAACGTGCAGCCCGGAACCCACTTGCCTCTGTCCCTGAACCTTGTTGATCTGCAACATGTGCGTGAAAAGGTGGTTGTCAGACACTCCCGTAACTTTTTACAAGCTTAATATCATACAACGCTTAAATCATAAAAATAGAGGCTCCTTACCCTGCCTTCCTCCAGAATCAGATCATCTAGGCGAGCCCTCAAATCTTTCTGCACCGCTTCGGCGTGGCTGCCAGAGACCCTGCGACCTCGGCTGTATTCCACATCTAGTTGTCGAATAAGCCAGCTGCAGGGCAAGGGGGTCGCAAATAATCAATAACATGCGTCCATACAAACCGCACATCTGATTAAGGAGTGACACTTACTCGAACACCTCCTTGGCATGGTCGCTGTGGCGATGGGTTGGGATTGCAGATTTAGGGTCGAAGTGTAGCACACGCGTACGGTACTCTCCGCGGGGATGTGCTGACAAATCTTGCGGGTTCATCAGCACCATGAGACTGATCGCCGTCGAGTGAACAACAGGGACTCTACGGTACATCGAAGTTTGGATTAGCAAGATAAGCTAGTGTCATCGACACACGTTGCGGATCCATGTCAAGAAACTCACTCTGATATCATGGGTATTAAAACCATCTCGTAGTCCAACAGCGACCGATGTTCGCTGCCACAACTGGGGACACGTGGGACGGCAGACCTCAAACGCCGATGCTCGGTAGGAGCCAGAATCTTTATGTCCCTGCGAACGCGAGGATCCCCAATCTTGTCCTTGGCAACCTCCCTGCATCCAAGCCAACATGTCGCAGAGGTAAGAAGATAGCAGGTGCCTGTCTAAAAAAACAAGGGTTCAACGTGCCGATGAAGTCGGCGTGCGTTACAAACCGCGCTTGGATACATACACAAGGCCGAAAAGTAACAACGCCTCGTTCCACTCTTCGTGGCGAGCGATTAACCTTTCATAAGACTCCCGCCCTTGTCGTACAGACAATCCGCAGCCATCTGTGATTAGCTGGGACGACATCGCGTAAGTAATCGACGACTTGGTCTTTGCCACTGCTGACACTGAGGAACTGGCCCTTGTGAAGCCGAAGCTGCAGAAGAGACACATGTGGACAGACTTGGGTGAGCTGCGCAGCTATCTTGGCTTGCAGATCACCCGGGACAGAGCACGCCACACCATCACCCTGACACAGTCACTCATGGTGGACCAGGTCCTTCAGCGCTTCGGCTTCACTTGGTCCTCGCCACAGTCCACTCCTCTGCCTATCGGTCACTCGCTCTCAGCTCCACCTTCGGACGAGTCCGTAGAGCCGAGTGGCCCGTATTCAGAGCTTGTGGGCTACCTCATGTACCTGATGACCTGCACTAGACCTGACCTTGCTTACCCTCTCAGCATCCTGGCACGCTACTTTGCGTCCGGGAGACACCGACCCGAGTATTGGAAGGCCGCTAAGAGGGTGTTACGCTACTTGTGTAGTACGTCGGGCACGAGGCTCGTGCTTGGAGGACGGAGTCGAGTTGTTCCAACTGGCCACGCAGACGCGTCTTGGGTTGACGACTTGGCTACGCAGCGGTCGTCACAGGGTTACACTTTCAACCTTGGCTCCGGTTATGTTTCTTTGGGGTATACCCGCTCGTCTTTTGTTCTTAGTTCCAGTTGTGAGGTTGAGATCTACGCATGGGCCATGGCTGCATAGGAGTTAAGCTGGCACACCTACCTGCTGACCGACTTGGGAGAGCAGCCTAGTTCTCCTCTAGTTCTGTACGTAGACAACAAGGCCATGATTGCCTTCTGTCAGGAGCACAGACTGGAGCACAGGACAAAGCACATCGCTCTGTGTTACTTCATTGCTCGAGACTAGCAGCGTGGCCAGCTTAATCTTGCTTATGTGGCCACTCGGGCCAACACTGCTGGTATATTCACCAAGGCACTTCAGCCTCGTAATCATCTGCGTTTCTGTACTGTTTTAGGCCTTGTGCCTACTTTGCCTCACTTGCTCACTTCGTGACTTTGCTTGTACTGTGATCTATATACTGCTTGTTCTCATATATATAACTCTGCATATGAACTGGCCTTGTGGCCACTTGCTTGTGCTCAGAGTGTGTGGTGACTTCATGATCCACCCTGAGCTTGCTTTGCTTCTCTTGAATGGTCTTTTGACCCGTTGTTCTCCCCACTTTTGCCAATTAGGGTTAAAACTTGTACTCAGTTTGATCTCAATGCAATCATTCCTGCTCATCAGATTCTGACACTCCTGGCATACTCCAATCTCCTCCTACAAGCGCCTCAGCCACACCACCTCCTTAGCCCCATGATGCAGCGCCATGTACTCTGTCTCACACGAGGATAGCCCCACCTCATTCTGCTTCTTGCTGCGCCAGCTCACTACACCACCTCCAAAGAGGCACACATAGCTTCCAATGCTGGTTCCATCTGCTTTCACAGAGTTGAAGCTAGCGTCGGTGTAGCAAGTCAAGAGCATCCCCCCTTTGCCCAAATCAGCAGCACCCCGCTGCTGCCTTTGCCTCACAGTACTGTACTCCAAACCCAGAGATGTTGTAGCACTCATATGGCGGACCAACCTCTTGGCCGCTTCCAGCTGCTCATGACTGGGGTGGGAGATCACACTGGCAAGCCTGGATGTAGTAAAGGCAATGTCAGGTCGCGTGTGGTTGGCTGCATAGTTGAATGCCCCAACCATGGATTGAAATAGCTTTCTGTCGCTCATCAGCACAGGGGTCCACTGTGAACCCTGAAGGTAGTGGGGTTGCTGGCTTTCCTCCATCCTATAGCCCGTACTTCTCGGCCAGCCCCTCACAATACTTCCTCTAGTGCAACCTCAAAACTCCCTTGTCAAGGTCCCTCTCCACATGCATCCCCAAATAGTACTTCACATCTCCCAACTTCGAGCACTTGAACTGCATTTCAGCATCTCATCTACATGCTCAATCATGGCAGATGACTCAGAGAAGAGCAGGATGTCGTCCACACACATTAGGAGCATGAGGAACTGTGTCTTCTCTTGCAGTAGGAACAGGCTGTGATCACACTCGCTCTTCTTAAACCCCCCAGCTAGCAATGTCTCCTCCATCTTGTGGTACCATGCGCGAGGAGCCTGCTTCAAGCCATAGATGGCCTTCTTCAGTCTGCACACCCTGCCGCCCCCATCATCCAACCCCTCAGGCCGCAGCATGTACAGCTCCTCCAGAATGATCTCATTGAGGAAACCAGTAGTAATATCCATCTCCTCCATCCGCGGTTTGCAGCCGTTTCCAACATCACCCTAAGTGTTGTCCCTTTCCCCATAGGTGCAAAGGTCTCGTCAAAATCCTTTCCCTTAATCTGATGAAACCCCTTAGCCACAAGCCTTGACTTGTGACGGGTCAGCTCCCCACCAGGTCCGTACTTGTGCCTGTGCATCACGCTCTGCTTCCACTTCTCAGCATCGGGCCCGCCCAGTGCCTCTGATAGCGTCTTGGGCTCAGGGACGGTTGCCCAATAGCAGTGCGCTATCTCATCCTCATCACACTGCTCAGCCACACTCCCAGCCTGCTCCACATTTCATGTGGCACGGCGATCATAGCTTAGCCCGACAGGTGGGCGCACATCCCTCCTAGGACGCTCAGGCGGGTGTGGTGCACGTGGTGGAGCACGTTGCTACTACTTCTACTGCTGCGGCTGCTGCAGCTGTTGCTGCGGCTACTGCTGCTGCTGCTGGTGCTGCTGCTGCTTCTGCTGCTATTGCTGCTGCTGCTGCTGCTGCTGCTGCTGCTATTGCTCCTCCACCTCACTCACCCCAGAAATCTCCTCACAGATAGAAACCTCTACCTGCCTCGAAGGCCGCTGCACCTCATCAGCCTGAACAATCAGCGATGTAGTAGGAAGCTTCTACTGCTGCTGCTTCCATTCCTTGTAGTACAGGGACTAAAGGAACTTCACATCCATTGACACATTCAGCTGCTGGCTGGTCAAGTCGTATAGCAACCAGCCCCAAGTGCACACCCCATCTCCCAGAAGCGTCCAACTTTCCCATTTTCTCCTTAGGCACATGGAACTCCACCATGCAGCCATAAGCTCTCAGCATGTCCACGGTCGCCAGCACCCGGCTCTTTGCAAGAACGACCTGCCATAGTGCAGTCACCCAAAACGGATCCGGCAGCCCTGTACGCCAGCAGGGTCCGGTTGAACCGCTCAGCCACGCCATTCTATTGTAGGTTGTAGGGCACTGTGAGATGATGCTGGATCCCCTTCCGCTTCAGCTTCTTCTCAAAATAATAACCGATGAACTCTCCTCCATTGCCAGTGCGGATCACCTTCACCTTGTTTCCACTCTCCCTTTGAGCTTTCGGCATCTACTCCTTGAGAACAGCCACTGCCACCTCCCCCTTAGTCTTTAGAGGGTACATCCACACCGCACGTGTGTGGTCGTCCACAATCGTTCAGAAAGAAAGGGCCCTCGTCGGGCCCACCACATCCATGTGGACAAGTGCGAGTGGAGCCTTGGCTAGTTCCATGCTGCTACTGAAGGGGAACTTGGTGAATCTAGTCTCAAGGCATGTAGGGCAGCTCCCAATCTCCTTCGCTGCCCCCTTCACCTCCAACCCCCTCAAGCTCCCATCCTTCACCAACTTCTGCAGCATAGGAAAGTTCACATGGCATAGCCTTTTGTGCCATGTCTCCCAGTCGGCCTTACCCTTCCCAGATAAAGCCTTTGCCCATGCAGCTGTCCCATCCACACCAGCAAGCACCTCACCACGTGGCTGCTGCACCTTCTTGACAGCATCCAGGGCCCCATCAGTTGGTGCACTCTTCTCTCTTCCCGCAGTTGCTTTAGCCGCTACCTCTGCCGCTGGCGGTGGTTTTCCATTCCAAGGGATGATGGGCAGCTGCCACAGAAA